ATGGGCATTTGAGCTGTTTCCAAGATTTAGCTATTACAAACCATGCTGCTGTAAACATGGACCATACAATATTTCAATGATAGAAAAAAAGACTTGCTCCAACTCCGACTTTTTGTTGTCCTCTCCTGGTCTTTCTTTCCCCTCACTGTATGAAACATAGAAATAAGTAATATAATATTTACATAGTTATCACTGAAGTGCTTGAAAAGCACAGCAGAACATGGGTTCTCAGCAGCACCACCCCATAGTTCCTGGATTATCTGCTATGACCTATACCAAACTGTCTATGTCTTCAACTTTGCATCACCATAACATCAACACAAGGTCATTCTCTGCTTGGTGAACCATGTCAACATCATGCTACATTAACTAGAATACAATATTCTTCAGCTATTGCAACAACATTTTAAAAAATGAGCTCTTGAAATGTGATTGTTTCAGGAACTTGGTAACAGATAAAATATATTCTACTATATCTAAGGGACATTTGAGAGAGGAGTCATCAGCCTGGAGGAGATAAGACATGATGGCAACTTTCAAATATCTGAAAGCAACAGAAATAGACACCCTCTCTGTGACTCCAGGTGGGAAATAACTAATTCCCTGAGTCATCCCGACCTAGCAAGTCAGTCTGAGATGTAGCAGTAGTCAAGATGACCACTTGATGGGATGCTACAGAGAGAATTCTCCTGTAAGTGGAAAATTACTTCTTCAAATTCTCATTTAAACTCAACAGCTGCATATTCTAAGAAAGTATACATTTGAGCATTCTCAGCTGTTTTGCCCTCTAGGCTGGGCAATCCTGTCCTTTGGTCAGGTAGCGCTCAGAAGGCATCTTCAAAGAGAGCCCTCTACTGGCAGGAGGATGTAGCACATCAACCTACTAGCATCAACAGCAAGAATGAGTTGATCCTTTTGTCCCCTTCCCTTTGGAAAATTTACAGCAAGCTTCTAGACCAGGGCACTAGCTAAGCAAAGATATCCTTAAGAAGAGCTCTGGGACAAAATGATGGGAACAAAAACGAAGACATGATTCCACACAGGTGGAGAAAGTCCTCGCTTAGAGCCACAGTAGGTCTTGGATGGATCAGGACCCTAAGATCCCCCATCAAAGGAAATCAGGGTTCCAAAGGCATTGAGGTAATTTTAACCTGGAAATTCAGCAATTCCATGTGCTTCTCAGTTGGTGAAAAGCTTCCCTTTCCACCTCCAATCATTGCTTTTGTGGTGGTCCCCAGAGAGGTTGGAGTCATCAGCTCTGCCAGTTAGTACCTGAGTCCATGTTATTCTCTGCTAACTCCCACCATGCCTGGTGCAGAACTGGAAACCTGGAAGCACTAAGCGTAGACTTGCTTCTTCCCAAATCCACTCAACAAATGTTAATTGAGTATGTGAATGTGCCAGGCACTAGGGTAGGCATTTGGTGAACAGCAAAGGCAAAACCACATCCATAGCAATAAAAAGATCACATTCTTGCCCTCATGAAGTTTTACTTTCTCATCACTGAGACACAATACTCAACACCTGCAAATGAAAGGAGGAGAGGTTTATTTTAGCTCAGTTTGCAGAGGCCTCAGTCCATAGTCAGTTGGTTCCAAGGTAGGACAGCATGGCAGAGGAGTGCGCTAGAAGAAAAACCACTCCTGGCATAGTGTTGGGAAACAGAAAGATCAAGGGAGGAGTGACCCACCTCCTCCCAACATCCGATTTAGCAATAAACAAATCCACTGATGAGTCTGATGTCTCCATGATCCAATCATCTCTCCAAAGCCCCACCTACATGAGGCTTTGGGGGGAGACATCTAGATATAAACCATAACAACAGCCTAGTAGAAGAGACAGACATTTTTTCTTAAAATGAAAAAGTGAATTCCATACTTGTGAGGTGAACTAAAGGCAGTGAAGGGACTGGGTAAGGTATGGTGACAGAGACATTCAGGTTGGGTGGGGAGGAAGCAAGGGGATGAACTGAATGGAGAAATAGGTGGGTGAGGGAGAGGTTGGTGAGGATGTACCCTCTGCCAGAGGGGACAAGGGGTAGAGAAACTGAGTGCTCCTAGCGGTGAGAGAAGGGGATTCCCTTCATGAATGCCTATCAATGCCAAGCACGACACAAAAATTACAGCATTCAGTTTTCAAAACAACCCTAGGGAGGAGGACTCATCCTTACCCCCATTGTATGTGGGGAAACTGAGGCTCGGATCGGGCAGGAACCTGCCAAATTCCTCTAAGCTAGTAAGTGGTGGAGCCAGGCTTCTAGTTCAGCTTAGTTTTTGCTTGCAAGACTTTGGAGCTTGGGTTCTTTGTGCTGTTCAGGATACAGGAAATGCCATTGTCATATTGCCTAGACTTGTGAATTGTATAAGGGCAACTTCTGCCCACAGCTTGGGAGCTGCGGGCCTGGGCCTCTGGGAAAAGGCTTCCTGCTGTGAAGCTGTGCAGGCTGCCTCCAGGAGAGAGTCACCTGGTCACAGGAATGTTTGACCCAGCCCAGATGTGGGAGGCACTGCCCAAGTGCCAACAGCCCCAGCAAAGAGCCCTAGCTATCTTGCATTCCCACGTTGCGGGGCATTTATCCACCAGAGCCCAGAACAGAATCTTCCCGGCCAATGAAGCCTAAGGTCTGTGATGGATGCCCCATCCCACACCTGGCTGTGTGCCGGCCAGGAAAGAATGGAGTCTACAGGGGTAGAGAGGGAGAGTTCAGGGCTAGCCAGAGGGAGCCCCAGGCCCTCGGGCCCATTTCCTTGCCTGAGGCTGGCAGCATTTACCTCTCAGGTGTCCTAGAGGTTGCAGGCAGGGCCCTCACAAATACTTTGATGTTCTGCTTCAGCCCCACAGCACACAGCATAGTTCACAAGTCCCTGCTTCCCACCCTGTCTTCCCTGGGTCTTGTGATGGCCTTGAGGTGGCCCTGCCTTGCCTCCCTTTGCAGCTCAGCTGGCTGAAGGCAGTGACTCTCCCAAGGCACACGCTTTTGAGCCAGAAGCCAGTTCCCCCACCTGGGATCCCAGGTGCTGTCTGCCTTCTTGCCTGCTGTGCACACTGGCCCTGCCTTCCCCACAGCACCCTCAATGCCAGTGCTCTCTGTGCCACCCCTCCCCTTGGCACCTCCTAACTCCAGCACGTATTTTATGACAAGTCCATATTCCACAAACACTTTGTTCTACATTACCTCCTCTTATTTTTTGTTTTTGTCCTGCTGAAAAACCACAAGGCGCCAGTATTTCTGAGGCTTTTTCTAGTGTTCCAGGCAGGGTGCATCATTGCTTGGCAGCTAAAGAGAAAGGTCAAGGGCGATGAAGTATCTGCCTAAGACTACCCAGTTAGTAAGTGGTGGAGCTAGCACTGGATTTGAACACAGGCAATCTGAACTCAAAGTGAGTGTTCCCCTTGTCTCTCTGTGTACCCACAAACCCTCTGAGCCCAGCTCCTCTAGGCAGTTGGCATTACAGCTAGGGGGTGGCTTTGAGCTGGTAAATCATTCACTACTGTGTTCACCGCTTTAAAATGAGGGCGACTCAGCCTCTCCCACTCTGCGCTTTCCTCTCTGTAAACTGAGCATAGCAACATCTACCTCAAAGGATTTTCTAAGGTGTAAAGGAGGGAGAGGTAGGGAAGGGCTAGCCTACACATACTGTTTTTTATTTGTTACCCAGAGCAGGCAGTCGAGAGGTTAAGATGGCAAAGCTCTGGGATAGTCTGTCGTGTGATCTCGGGAAAATTTCATAGTCTCTGTGCTCCAGGTCCCAGTCTTATGCAATTGGCACAACAATAGAACCTACATTGTAAGGATATTGTCTTCCAAGAGATGGAGCAGTTGACTGCTGAGTCCCAGTGCCCAGCACCGAGCTTGGCGCCGAAGTCTCCTGTTGGAGAGGATGAAGGAGTCGCCACATCCCATCACAAGCAAGCGCTGGTGATATTGGTGGGCTGCTCTCAGTTCTAGTGTCACTGCTGTCATCTCCCCCTGGCTTATCTCTCCTCTGGCAAGACCAGGGTGCTTTCTGTCAAAGAGCCTCTTCTTGGGCCAGGGATTTAGCTCAGTGGTTCTGCTGCCTGCCTCACAAGTGGAAGGTCCCGAGTTCGATCCCCGGTAGCAAAAAAAAAAAGTCTCTTCTCGGCACACATTCCCTCTCCCACTGAGCCCAGCTGGCAGAAGCAGGAGTCCTATAGACAGGGACCAGGTCAAGGATGCCTTCCTCTTCTATTTATTTATTTTTTCCATTAAGTTTATTGGTACATTTTAGGTGTACAATACAGTTACATTCATCACTGGGATCTTGTACCTGTACATGATGTATCTTGGTTCTTATTTTTCCCCATTCCCTGTGCACCCCTCCCTATTTACAAAGACCTTGTTTCTATCTTTTTCCTTTTCTCTTTTTTCTTTTCCCTTCTTTCCTTTCCCCTACCCGTCCCACTTCCCCTACTCCATTAGACCTTTTCTTCCTATTTCACATTATCAATTATACATTTTAATCCTTATTTACACTTTTAGTTTTTCACACCAGAGAAGCTATTTGGTATTTACACATGTGTGTCCTATTTATTTCACTTAAGAGTATCACCTCAATGTACACCCACTTAGCTGTAAATGTCTCTAGTTTCTTGTTCTTTACAGCTGAGTAGTACTCCATTTTATAAAAACCTTCCTCTCCTAGAATCTACCTTCCAAACCACTGACTACTTGGATTTCTGCATGCGCACGCACACACACACACACACACACACACTCCACATAAAAAGAACCAAACAGACAGACACACTGCAGGCTTCCAAAGGAGTGACTTAGCTCCTGCAAACAAGAAGGCTTGTCAGTCTCTGTCCAGTTCAAAGTCTGTCAATTATTATCCAATTAGTCATCTTTCCAAAGATGGAACTGTCATTAAAACAATCAAACAAGCATGCTTGTTTGTGGTTGAGTGTGTGTGTTGTGTGTGTAGAGGGGCAGAGGGGGAGTGGTCAGAAAGAAAATGCCCTGGTATTTATATTTCAGTGTACACTCGTTTAAATAACCCCCGGGAGAATGTGCTGTATGATTATACCTAATCCAGGCTTATTCAGAGGATTCTGGGGCTGATTTCTCCTCCTCCTTTCTTGCCTCCCCATTCATATAACCCAGGCTGCCTCCAGCTATCCCATTGGACTTGCTGGCCCTGAGCACGTAAAGGTGCAGTGAGTCGTGGAGAATGATCATGGTCATCTCTGAGGCAGCATGGTTCTGCCTGGCTGTCACTGCAGCCCTAGGCAGCATAGTTTTCTGCAAACACAAGAGCCCAGGGCAGCTGGGGAGACCAGTGGTCTGGCTCACTGGACTCTGCGGAGGGGCTTACCTGCTCATCTTGTCCTTCTTCTGGAGCTTGGTTCTCTTCTCCTTGTTGTGTTTCCTCATGTGTATGTACTTGGCTGACCAAGAGCTGTTACCCGTGGATCAAAAGGCAGTCCTGGTGACAGGTGAGTGGATGGCTCTATCACATTCACTGAGGGTAGGATCCAAAAGGCTCCCTGCCTTAGTGAGATTTGCTCACATTTGGTTTAAATGCAATGCACCTGGTGTGGAGTAAATGAGCACATATCCAAGTGCTTTTCACTGTACTGCTTTGGTGAACTGTTCTTAGGAGTTGCTTTGAAGGAGCTGCTGGTAAGAAGGAAGGTGAAGGTTTGGTGTACGTAAGCAATGATTTTGGTTGTTTTCCAGGAATAAATATTAAGGAAGGGTGTGTTATTTTACATATTTTGTTGCACCTGGAAGTGTTCCATGGACTTCTTTAGGCTTAAAAGGAATTTTGTTCTCAGATGAATGTTTGGCCAGGTTCTAGACCTGGTTGTCTTCCCTAGCTGTGCAAGAAAGCCTGCAAAGCCAGGTTCCCCTGCACCTTGTTGTGTCTCTGTGGACTCACCTGTGCTAGAAATGTTGCAGTTCACCTGGCTGCTGTCAAGAACCTTGTGTCCCATCTGAACCTTTCCTCTTCAAGTATGTCATTTGACCGCTAATGCATCTTAATTAGATCAGGTTGGCTGTGTACAGAAATCTAGCTGCTCATTAGCAGAGCGGCCAGCTTTGTTCTTCTTTTGTGTTTTATTCCGCTGCAAGTGTGAGGCCAAATTAAATTCCTTTGAGTTGTAAAACTGGTTTGTTTAGTTGTGAATTCTGAACTCAGATAGGGCTTTAATTAGGATTAGCCAGACTTCTCCTAACCCAGAAAATCCTGGAAGATAAGGAAAAAACACCAGCTGTTGAGTCATCTGCTGGGAGGTCATCACTCAGACTCTGACCCACTGGATGTGTTGGAGGAAGAGCTGTGGTTTCCACATCTCACTGGGAAACAGATGCTAAAGTAACTTTTCCAATTTTGCCTTTTACTTTAACCCAATAACAAAATGATTTCTTGAAATGAAATGCAAGCTGGTGCTTGTTAGAGTTTTGAAGTGCTGGGGAAGATGAGCTTCTTTAAATTAAAAAGAAATCAAAGTAGACAATCAGTCAATCAATGTAATGTTTACAGAAATGTTTGGTAAGACCTGGAATCCTGCATCTAGGAGACTGGCTGGGTCGTCCTCTTGTCAGTAGGATTCTGAGAGGGCCAATGGGCTGGGGGAGAAGCTGGAGCAATGTTTCTCTTCTATATACAGTAAGTAGCAAGCACCCAAAGACTTCAAAATTTTTTCAAGTCAGATTTATGTTTTGCAATTCTCCAACTGCCTCAAAGAAGACAAAAAATTAAGCATACTAAACAAATAGACAAATGGAAAAATCAGTACCATTATTGACACTTATGGGATCTTCTGGAGGGCTAAATATTCCTGGGGAAATTAGAATCAGGGTACAGTACTTTTATGGCAAATAAAAGAATACTCAATCTTAGAGATAATCTTAGGTGAACCTCAGGGTAGCTGAGAAATAGGAATCCAGTTATCCTTGTTTATCTTATCAACTTTCATTATCCTTTGCTTTTACAGTGTAGGCATGGATTAATGCTCACAAGCACAAACCCATCTGAACAAGTCCACAACAATTTTTTTTTGCAATTTTTGGTTGTGTTTAAAGTCCAGTAAGAATCGCTTCTTGGTCTTTTGGCTAAGATCAAGTGTAAAGCCCAGTAAGATAAGTAAATTCATCAGACAACTCAAACCCCCTGACTAATCTCTAAATGGAATGTTGAGCAATTGGGAAATTTAGAATTAAGAGGTGAACATGCAATTCTGAAAGTGACTGAAATGTCATGTTCAAGTTCTTTGTCATTTTGACATAAACTCAGTATCATTCTAGAGAAGGTTCAAGACCTTTGTACTAAATGGAGAAATTTAAAATGAATTCCATTATTTAGACCAGGACTAATTTTAGAAGACTAGAAGCCACTGAGTTAACCTTAGTTTCAAGTTGGCTTAGTTGTGAATTGGCATGCATTTTGGTGGGCATTAGGTAGGGGAAGAAACATGACAGTGCACACTAAAAATTGTAAGTATTATGCCTTTATCTGATAACTTATCTCTTGAAGATATAACGTGGGGACTGGGGATGTGGCTCAATGGTAGAGCACTTGCTTAGCATGCATGAGGCCCCAGACTCAAACCTTGGCACAGAAAGCAGAACACTCTGAAATATGTAAAACTAATACATGCAAAACAAACTGATACCAGAGGAACCTTTTGGCTCAGAGATTATAGAAATGAGAATTGGGCCTTTTTTTTTTTTTTTTTGTACTGGGGATCGAATTCAGGACCTTGCGCTTGAGAGGCAGGTGGTGGCACTACTGAGCTAAATCCCTGGCCTGAGAATTGGGTCTTCAGCGAAAGGGAATCAGCCTTCATTGAGAGAGGGACCAAGCTGCTTGCTGGACAAAGACAGCAGCAAGTTTTTATCAATTTCCTAGAGTGGGCTAAAGTTAGGTAATTCCCATAGGTCATTTCAAAAGATAGCTGTTCTTATGTCAACTTGCCCTGAGTTACACTTGTAGCTCACACTATCATCCTGGGCAAATATTATGGCCTTGTGATTCTGTCCAGGCCTTCGATGAGGTTGAAGGAATTTAGGTGCTTGGGCTGTTACAATTTCTGAAGAAGCACAAGGGTGGGAGCGGGAAAGGGAGAAGAGAGAAAGACAAAGAAAACACAGATTAGCTCCAATAGGCAAGAGGGAGGATTAACTGTGCGTTATAGTCTTTGACAAAACGTTTTAAAAACAATCAACACATCTGTGTGCAGAGCTGAGTAGAATTCTACCCGTGTTAAAACAGCAAAGGGGACAGACACAAAGACAAAGACCACAGCCTTCTATCTATTTGGTCACCTATTAGATATTTGTAGGTTCAAAGTGTCAGTGTTTTCAACAAAAACAGCCCTCAAGTTTCTGCAAGGTGACCAAGTGACTTATGACCCACACAGGAGAGGTATTATCTACAGTAAAGCTAGTAGGCAACTAATAATGTATTACCCAGTTGCATGACTTTCAAACTTAGTGATCTTAAGTCTACGAGGAACAAGTGAAGCTGGAGGGTTTAATCTAGGTTTTTCTTTGGTAACATCCCTCATTTTGTGTAAACATTCTTCTGTGGTTTCATCAAGGTCTCATGATGTGTCTGTTGAAAGAGCTCAGAATAGAGAAACAATATGCAAAACCATAAAGGACAATAGTTTACTGCACCCAGGGGATTATTTTGTTGTCTCAACCTTTGCCCTACCATGGTGGTCTCTGTCTCAAAGCAGTATCTTCAGCACAATCTTACCTAAAATAGTGAAATATCAAAAGCAACCAAACTGGTGAGAATCTACGGTACATCCTCTGGGTGTGACAAAGTGCAGCCATCAGAGGGGACAACCATAGGGATTATGTTAAAACTGCTTGGGTTCCAGGGAAGCACATGGGAGAGCCAAGTGTATGAACAAGACACAACCTGTCCAGATGCATCATAATCTCTTTGCAGGTAACAGCTGAAAGGTACTAGTTCCTACATTGCTGGAAGGAAGAAGAAATACTCTTTATAAAGGAAATAATTGGTAAGTGGTTGGAGTAGGAAACTTGGGTGTTTTTCCGAATTTTAGATTTCTCTAATGGCTTTATATTACTTATATCCCAAAAACACTGAAAAGAGAGATACCATTAAAGGGATCAAGCTCATTTTATCTGCCATTGAATTATGGACCCAGTTGAAGGACAATTGCAAAGACAAGTTGAAAAAAATAACATTTCCCCCATTGGAGCTCTTTATTTTATTTTCCCACGATGTTCAAAGCTATTTTGTCTTCGAGACAATGTAACTGCAGTAAGAAGAAAAAAGAGCATGTTGCTCAAACATGTACTTGCCTCCACGGTTCCTACAACAACAACAGTGGCCTTTTAATTTTTTAAATGACTGTAAAATTAATGAAGAACAGACCAATACAACTTCAAAAACATCCCAAGTATAATACGCCAGAAAGAACTTGGAAGTCAGGCAGGTTTGGGCTTGAATCCTGCATCTACCTCACCTTAACTGGGGTCCCCCGAGGCAGGATGTGAAAGTGATCTGTCAGGCCAGTTCCCAAGGAAGGTGGACAGGTGAGGGAGGAGGCCAGTGAGCACCTCAAGGGAAGTCCTCTGAGGTCACTTTGGTTTAATTACCATGGGCAGATGTGACGGCCTATGGGTCCCATGTCAGAGCTGCCCAGACTGGAGATCAGAGAGCTGTAGTCTTGGTGCTATCAATCTATCAGTCATTAGTTAAGGCCGCCTCATCCCCAACCCTTTCCCCTCAGAGTCTGGGGAGTACATGAGGCTTGGGCTGCAGGCACTGCGGGCTTCAGGGTCTCACGTGCAGTGGCCTAGCTCGTTGGGGAAGCCCTTAGGCAAAACGAGACAGATGCTGGCTCCCAGGAGTGAAAGTGTGCCATGGATTAATGCATACTAAAGGGCCAAGGGATCCCAGGAATCTTCTGTCAAGTGTCTGTTACCAGCTGGATGGTCTTTGGCCAAATAGATGGAGAGAAGGAAGGTTCATTTATTCATTCAATATTTATATTGAATATTTGAGAATGCAGTATGTGCCATTTATTTTCCAGAAGCAGTGGTGGGAGAAAATTTAAAATGCCATGGAATTATTGTCAGATGACAGCATCAAAATTCTTACTTTTCCCTGACCTTGAACCCACTTTCACTGGGATTCCCTCCTGCTCATCTGAGGCTGTTGTGTATTGTTCTCAGCTCCTCTCTGAGTTTGGCAGGAGATACACAGGCAACTTTGCTTCTCTACTCTTGGCTTCCCATCTTGGCTGGTCCAGTCATTGCTAGCACCTCCAGTGTTAACTACAGATTCGCCATCTACTGTGAAGCTGGGGGTTTCATGGTGCAGTGGGCGAGACATAGGCACACCTAACTTGTGGCTGTGGGATGGGACACAGAAGCACCTCCAGGGGACTTCCCAGAGTGCTGTGAAGCCTAGGGTAGGGGAAGTCTTGTGTGAGGGACTGGAGAAGGCCTCCTTAAGGATCAAAAGGAAGTTTTCTAGAGGGAAAATGGGAAAATATCCCAGGCTGATTTGTAACTACAATGCATAGAGCTAGTACTCAAGAAAGCATTTTGCTTTACATAATTTTAAAATTTAAAACAGGATACAATAGAAGATGGGTCCAAGAGGGGAAATTTTTAAGTGAAGGCCTTTATGTTCTAAATACAGAGTCCAAAGTGGGGTGGTGGTGACTCCTTCTGGGAATTATTAAATAGTCTAAGCTTCTAAAAGTTGAACACCATTGACATCATCTTGGATTTGGGCTTCTTCAGATTCAACATTGGATTCCAAAAAGGATATATATTGACTAAGAGACTAAGAGAAATGACATCTCCATGCTCAGAGCTTCACATATGTTTTATATTTGATTCCCACAATCCTAATGGTTTACATTTTGTGAACCAGGAAACTATGTGTTCAAAGTCTCTGACCTACCCAGTTAGTGGAGAATGGATTAAATCCAAACCAGATCTACTTGCCACCAAAAACCATTTTATTAACCACCAACATTAGCAGTGTTGTAGCCATAGTTAGTTTTAGACCACAAAGGTTGCTAGGACATAAAACATATCCATTCAATCAGCAAGTAAATAACTGAACATTCATGATGTGCATACAACGGCTTGATACAGAACTTGACCTGTGATTGGATTCAGGAGATGCTTGGAAGGCATGATGAGGTGAGGCTGCTGTGGACAAACATAGGGATCCTTGAAGAGGATGAGGACTTGCAAGGTGCCAAATGGTAAGTTTGGCTTCAGAACTGGGTTTGAGTGCACTGAATCGTGGTTCAAGTGGAATGGCATTGAAAAGGGAACCAGAGAAGTAGTTGTTTGTGTTTGGAGATAGAAACCAGAGGAGCAAGCTGCAACGCAGGAGGGGAAGGGGAACAAGAAGGAATTTAGATGTGTCATGTGAGCCAACTACTCACAATAAATGTAATCATTATGTATCGCAAATATGTGCTAATAAAAAAAAGGGCTAATTGGGCCCATAATGGGAGTTGATACTATCTTCAGGAAGTCTACCGTCCACTCTATCCTATTATTATTATTATTGCTTTGGCAATGTTGGGTACTTGAACTCAGAGACTTGCACATGCTAGGCAAGTGCTCTACCATTAAGTGATATCCACACCCTATCCTATTTTTGTATGGATCTCTCTCTCTCTCTCTCTCTCTCTCTCTGTCATTATACAGTGCTGATGATCAAACCAAGAGTCTCATGCATGATTCTAGGCATGTGCTCTACCACTGAGCTACACTCCCATCCCTACTCTTTATCATGCAGTTTATGTTTTACATTAACCCTCTATGGGGAAACATGAAAAGAATTTTAAACTCAGATAATTTTGTAAAAGTCTGAATGGTGTTTTAGTAGGCAGAGCAGATGAAGGTTTTGATTGGGGGGATATTCTCATGGAATGAGAATCTGCCTAACTATACTGGAGGCTTTCTGAAGGCAGGAGCCAAATATGTCCTATGGCCATGTTCCCCTTTTCAGTCTTAGAGCACACTACATCCAATACAATGAGAAGGACTGAGAGAATCACACTGGTGAAATGTCCTCCCCTTTTGGGGGTTACTGGATGAACACAATAGTCTTGTCTCAATTTGTCCACTTATCTCTCCTGACTTTTTTTGCTGGGGTCACCTGTATGGAAAGGGCAGTGTGACATGGCTGAGCCCTGGGAGGTCCCATTGTTCTGCAGTGACTTAATTGTTGACTTGCTCCAGAAAAGGCTTTGTGTTGACTTAGTTGGCATGAGCTGAACATCCTCTGTCGCCCACTGGGCTGCTGAAGCTACCCTCCAAGGTCACAAGTGCCTTCCTAATTACCAGAGCTTGACTTCTACCCCAGTGCTACCTGCCATATTTTCCTTTTCAGCGTGGCCTCTTTTGCCTTCCAGAGTGTTGTATGTCTCTGCTTCTCCTCTCTTATCTTTCTCTTGTCTCTTCCAGGTTCTTCCAACTCTTTCTAAGGAAATCATGGCTCTGTCCTTTGTCCTCTTCTTTTGCTACCTCCTCTACCATATAGCCATCTCACCTGGCTTTCTCTACCGTGCGAAGGCTGGCAAAGCTGGGGTTTTGTATACTTGATATTCTTAACAATTCCTATCCCTTTTCCAGGATTTTAACCTCTTTTATCCTACTTCTTTTCCTTTTCTTAACTTCTCTGGTTTCCACCTTTCCCTCAATTCTGTCTGTCATACTACTCCAGCTTCTGTTTCTTCATGTTGGCCACTTGCTATAAGTCTTCCTGCATTTCACTGCATGTGTGTGCCTGTGTGTATATGTGCAGGGTGCTGGAGATTGAGCTTAGGGCTGTGCATGTGATAAGTCTATGTTCTACCACTCAGCTGTGTCTCAGCCTGACTTCACTTTTTGGTGATTTCTTCCTATCTGCATCTTCCTCTGTCCATCCTCTTTAGTGCTGGCACTCCCCATACCTTGCATTCTCCTGTTGGCTCTATTTACACTTCTTGAACTCTCCTGAAGGAATCTCATTTGCATGTCTGACTTCTGGTGCCATCTGTGTTCTGATGATGCTCAAATTTGTCTTGCCCAGCCTGCACTCTGGACATACACCCATAGCTTCCTAAAAGGTAACACCTGAAGGTCCCAAGGTTTATGTACCACAAGCAACACCCAAACATTTCCTGAATGCTGCCATGGTCAGCAGTCTCTACTCATTGGATGGCTTTACTCCCACTCCCCACCTGCCCAAATCAGAAGATTCACAGTTGCCTCTGAGGTCTCTCATCTGTTTGCCCACATCGGACCTTGAGCATCCTCCTTGACTCTTCCTTCTCTCCTTGCCTCATCCAACCAGCTGTTTATTCATAACTCAGTGACCTGCCATCATGTCCTGAGCCTTCCTGCTGTCCTCCCCACCTCTCCAGGCTTCACCAATTCCTATCTGGACTGTTGTCACAGATCTTTCTTCCTGCTCCTTATTTCTCCATCTTCATCCTCTAAACACAATCACATTCACAAAATATAATGTTGATCACTCCACATTCCCCTATTTAAAAATCCTTCTACTGTCCCCCAGCCCCTACAGACTCTGAATTTCTTGTGTGCAGAGGTACTTCCCAATGCAGTTCAATTCATATGTATTTCTTCTATGCTCCCAAATTCCCAGGAAAGTTCTGGATGCCCATTAGCTATTCACAAGTCTGAACACTGTGCTGACAACTCTTACTCTCTTTAAGACAGACAAAGAGTTATGGAGGAGGTCACCTGCGTACGGTCTGAGAGCAGTTTCTGCTACAAACAAGTCCTTATCTCAAAAAAAAAAAAAAAAGGAGAAAAAAGAAAAAGAGCATCCTTGTTTTCCTGTTATCCCACAGATTTCAGAATCCCTTTTTTATGGTCCTACACATGAACTTGTCCCAGGTAGTGCTCCTCCCAATTTTAGTGTTCAATGCTGGGTTCTTGGAGTGAGGAATCAGACTAGACTGTGGGGTGTTGATATATCCATGCTAGGACATGGAGTAACTGGAGATTTCCAAACAAGATCGGTAAGACTGGCTGCATGGCTAGATGGTTCCGATGGTTCCATTGTGCTGAACCAAGACACACAATGTGTAATTGCAGTGTTAGATCATTCACTAGCTCTGGGCTCTTGAGTAATCTGCTTCACCTCTCTGAAGTTAATGGAAATCATGATCGCTAGCTACCCTTTCTAAAGTTTAAGCAAGATTCTGAATATATTTTCCTGCCTGATACATAGTAGATGATTCATGAAATAATAATGAATTTAACCTTTCCCTTATCTTCCCCAGTCCAGTCATCTCCTTGACAAAAAACAAGAGTTAAAGAACAAGAAGAGCTTGTAGTCCCACCCTTTGTGTCATTCATTAATGTTGCCACCTTGTTGACCTCCGGTGTTGTTACCTTGCTCCTTTGTTGCCTTGCATTCTGACCACTCCTTGGGTGGCAAGCCATCTTTTTGATGTTAACTTGTTTCTCCAGGCCTCAGTGGAATCTGAGTTTTTCTTTACACATGCTTTTCATCAGTGTGGATAGGGCTTTGCCAATGTGCTGTGTGCTCTTAGCTCTGTACGTCTCCCTTTGGTCCTTGCCCTCTTACACCCTATTGTTCTCTGAGAGCTTCCTATGTGACCACTGCAGCCTCTTAAGTTTCTTCCCCTGATTCTTTTCAGTCCTGATCCTTTACTCTGAGTTGTCCTTTCAGTTCTTCTCCTACAGAGAGAGTCTTTGGTGGGGGGCGGGGCACAGATTATGGAAACCTTTGCTCTAGGCTAAATATTAAACTATTTCCTTTCCGCTTGAACCCCCACCTCTCTATGGGAGTGGATATTCCCTACTAGGCGGGGGTAAGGGGTGCTGATTGGGAGCAAGACATGCAGGTGATTTGAGCTGAGGCTGCAGCTCACAGTTCAAGTTTTCAATGACAGTTCACTGATTGCCTACTGTGTGTTCTTGACATCCAGTAAGACGCACAGATCCCTGCTCTCATGAAGTATAATTCTAGTGGAGGAAGACCTAACACAGACCAGTGAACAGATGAGATGATCTTAGTGCTGCAAGGCCTGATAGCAAGGACAATGGAGTCACCCAAGTTTTCCTGTGTATCAGATACAGTGATTTAGCATTTTCCACGCCTACTTTCATGTTGTTCTCACAAATGGCTTAGGAGATAATTTTTAAAATGGTATGAAAACTTTACATATATGTAAAGAACAGCAAATGGACACAATATACCCAATACCCATATTTTAAAATGATTATGATCAAGAGTGATGAAGTCTGTTATTAGCTCCACTCTAAGACGAAGAAATTCAGGTTTTTCATAGTTTACCTAGCTAACGTCACATAGCACATAGCATATGTGGCTGTGCTAGAATTCACGTGCAGCCACTCCATCTCTCTTTTAGATTACGGAAACACAACAAACAGTGCAGCCAGGAAGGTGGCAAGCATTCACCCGAGGGAAAGGGCCAATGACTGCTGTGGGTCTCAGACCTGGAAAGCTGGCGCAGGTATCTTTGACCTCTATTTAGGTGTCCTATGGCCTAGCTGGCTTTCAACAGGGGAAGGAGAGCTGTGTCCCAAATCAAGACTCACTTAAAGCACCCAGAGTACTGGAGACGACACAGCCCTACCTCCCCCAAGTTTCCCTCCATCAGCAGGGCCAGCACGCCAGTAGTAAGATGCCAGAGTGTCCTGTGTGAGGGGCCTTCTCACTACTCGTGAGCCAATCACTGTTTTCCAATATTGCCAGCTGTGCCCTGGGATTCTTACTGGATATCTCTAGATTATTACTTCAGAACCTACCTGGTGTGCTGTTGTGGCAAAGTTTTGGAAAGACCTGAAGAAGGTAACTCTTGCATAGGAGGGTTTAAAAAGTAATTCTGGTTAGTAGTGTGGAAAGAGGACTGATAATCACCAATATTTTTGGGCCTTCTGTGCCAGTTGGTTTACAGTAGCAAATGGCATGCGTTCATTCTATCTAATGACTTTAAAATGTGGTGTGGGAGAGAGACAGGAAGCCTGGATATTACAAGGCAGGTGAGAGTTCGTCGAGGTAGCAGAAGTGAGAGGAGGTGAGGCCACTGGGAGGCTGGGCAGAGGCCATGCACTGGGAGAGCAAGCAGTCCACTGGATGACCTTGAGGCAGAAGAGTCATGGGAGCTGGTGGCTCACTAGGTCTAGGTGGAGAAGAGGCGAGAGCCACTGTGTGTGGAGTTTCCTTTCCTAGACCTCATCAGTGTCCCTT